CCTTATATGATAACCAGGTATGGTTGTATACCTATTTTCGCATATGAAACGAATAAATTTTGTAGGCACAGTTTACGATAATTTTGGGTAATCCAGATTATGATGAAAAATTGAACAAATGTTCGGAAGTAGTGCCATGAAGGGGAAGAAAATGTGTGAATCGGTGTTTCCAACGTGAAAAAAGGCTGCGAAAATTCGTTAAAAAGGGGGCTGGACGAGAATGAGACCAGAAAAATGGAAAAGAGTGGGGATTTGGACGAGTTATACAATGTGTCTCACTGCGTACGAGTGGGTCGTGGTGCGAAAACTTGCAATATGTCTCGCCTCGACACTTGTCTGACGTGACATCGATCGAGGGGCGGGAAGGCCGCACGAGCTGGGAACGGGGCTCCCACTATGCTCTCACCGTCTAGTTTTTGAGCGCGAGGCTTCTTCCTATTACCCTTGGGAGTCACTGGGTGATCCTAAGGGCAGAACTCAATAAACATTTTTATCGTAAACTGGGCCATTAAAAATAACGGAGGGTTAATGAAGTCACGGATATTGAAGCCGCCTTATCACATTCACCAATGTAGGATGTGTTAGGCCTAAAGAGCCTTCATTTTGTGCATGTAGCAGGGCTAGCGGAAATACTAATTTGATCGGAAATTCTGGGATACACTACATCGGTAGACGATATCGAATAGCTACATATATACGAACTGATGCGGTCAGACCTGAGAACACTGCGATCGTTCTTTGTTAGCGGCAGCGGTCATGACATCTTTGAGAACGACCTGTAAATCAATTTTCTTCAAAATGTATTCGATAAATTCCAGATAACGAAAATGGAAAACCTGTCCGATCTAAAGAACCTGGTTGTTCTGGATCTTTCCTACAACAGAATCACAAAAATCGAAGGACTTGACGGATTACAAAATCTTAAACAGTTATATCTCACTAGGAATAAACTCACGAGAATTGAAGGATTAGAAAACGTATGCGAGAAATATGCGTATAAGTAACTTGTTTCGAAAGCACAGTCAGGTGTGTATGAGCGTAGGTCCCTACCTACTCCCTATTGTGGGCACATAGCAGTTGTCCTGAAAGTTGGTCCATTTTGGAATGATGGAGGAGGAGGACCCACCGATGAGGAAAGCGTAGCTATTCGGTCTACCCTCATACACCCATCGTGAACGGTAGCCTCGAGTGCTTAACTTTCCAGTTGACATCTCTCGAGTTATTGGAGCTCGCAGATAATCGGCTGAGAAAAGTGGAGAATCTGGAGTCGTTGACAACCCTAAGAAAACTTTTTCTCGGTGCGAATCAGATCACAAAAATTGAAGGTAAGCCTATCAGATTTATCATATCTTGCTAGTATTATTAAACCGAGTAATTCAAAAATGCGCAAATAACTAGTGATGCGGTAAAGAGGGTGAAATGGCCCAGACGACCCCATAGGTCTATTCTGAATGTAAGTATAGCCGAATTTTGATACCAGAAGAGGTATTCTGATCATGAAAGGAAATAGGCAAGATGAATGCGTAGCTATTGGAAGAGCATAATATCCTAGAAGTTCATTACTCGAATTTGCGCGAAATGAATCTTTCTTTGCATTTTGGAAGTGAGATGTCGAAAAGTTGGTGTAAAACTCGGACAGAATACTAACGGATGCAAGGGTTGGTCGAAGAGGCGCCTACACAGTCTTTCTCGCACCCCAGGAACGGGTGGATGAGCAGTGGAATGGCGTAGCGGAAGAATCGGGTCTCAGTGAAACTTGACGTGCCAGTGTATCTGACAAGATTTATCAATTGTAACTGGTTTAGTCATCCTACGGCGGTAAAACTAGAGTAAGGGGAGGGAAAGGTAGCGGGTAGAGAATTTTGACCCTTGTCAGCGTTCTCGTATCAAGACCAAATCCCCTTAACCAAATCTTCTTCCATGCCCACTTCCTGCGCGAGATTAGCCTATGACATACTTTGGTACTCCTCCTACTCTTAATATAGACAAAAATTCCATCCGCTTAGATCAGAATCGATTCTTCGCATTATTGCAGGCCTGTAAGACCAGCAGTCCAGCTTTTTTTTACGTTCTAGCCCTTAAACTTAGGAAGCAAACAAAAATGGAGGGCTCAACAAAGTCATGGAGTTAAAGGCACAGTTCACGATAAAAATGGTTCCTGAGATTCCCCCATAGGATGAATTTGAGGTCCCCGCGTATACCAGATCTGGCACTATTAGGTCGGAAAACGGCCTAGATAGGGATAAAAGCTCAAAAATTGGCTCGTGTGCATCCTCGGACGAGCTTCACTGGCATTGTAGAGGCTGCACTGATCACAAAGGAATCCATGTACGAAGTTCAAACAACTTGTCATAACCCATAACGACAGTGAAAGGCAGTTCTGTACAATTCTGGCTTGTGGTAGTCAGCTCTTTGAGCAATTGCAATAACTGAAATCTCGTCCGTATACCCCTTCCGTGTTATTTCCGCCATAGTAATCTCGTCCAACCTCTGTTTTTCCCACTTTTGAGGAACCTTACTTTTCTCGAAATCGATGAACTCTCTCGCTTTCTTCACTACCGACGAGTTAGTTCCAACATATACTTCCGCTTCACGACCAAAAAGGGGTACATCAAATTTATCGTGAGCTGTGCCTTTAAGGCAGCGGCGCTCTTGCCTGAAAGCCCTAAATCGCAGGGAGCATCAACGGCATCTTACCTGATCTTGCCTGAAGAGAAGCTATATGTCGCAAAATGATACAGCCACCTCTAATTTTCCCAATAGCTCACAGTATATGATGTTTCTGAAAAACTGCCAAAGTAAAAAATGTGTCAAATTTGAAATGCAATTCGCACATTATCACCAAACTCCAGCTCGAAAAAACAAACATTTTTTTGGTCAATTTTTCAATAAAGGGTGCTTTTCCAACGTCGCAAAATGATACAGCCA